AAGTGTCATTACTACCATTAAAATATCTCTTCAGTTAAAAAGTAAAGAATTTTAATTTATACCTTTCAGGCTAAAGCACTCTGCCTGTCCTTCCAAACAATCAATAATTTAGATTTTTCTTCTTTCAACACACCGGCTGTATCCCACTGAGGCAGGGTGGCCCAAAAGGAAAAACAAAAGTTTCTCCTTTTACATTTAGTAATATATACAGGAGAAGGGGTTATAATTTAGATATAGTGTGTTATTAAACTAAATATTCTAGCCTAATATTCAAACTTTTTCTCTATCTATTTTTCTTAAATATAATTAATTTTATTTGCATTTGTGTGTTGTTCTTACAGATACTCTCAAGTTCATCCACTGTAATTTACTTTTCTCCAATATCTTCAAAACTGCAACACACCAGTGTGTGTGTTATTTGTTTATTTGTACCTGGATTCCTATTTTTTAACACATCGGCCATCTTCCACCAATTACTGTCTTTCTAGAAGTGTGCTGACATCACAGCTCAGATAACTTTCCCAACTGCAACATCACAACTGTTCCCGAAGAGTGCAGGCACTACTTCCCATCTCCAGGACTTGAGTCCAGGCTAACCAGTTTCCCTGAATCCCTTTATAAATTCTTTCTCGTTCACACTCCAATACCACATCAAACCGTAAAAAACCACTTGCTTCCAGTCACTCCTGTCTAACATGCTCATACAAGCCTGTTGGATGTAAGCCTCTAGCACTCCAAACCTCCCTGTTCCCCTCCTCTGATGATCCCTACCCTTCCTTCTCTCTACCCCTGATTTATATGCCCTCTTTTTAGCTGCTATGTTATTTCCACAGGGCTCAGCAGGAGGTTTTACCAGTTTAAGGCCACAACACTTAAAACAAATGCTCAATCCAGCACTTGGAGATGTTTCAGACAGGTTGCTGACTGAACTCACTAAATTTTCCAATGTGTGCCTGGCTGGCAGTGTCCCAGAGGCCATCAGACCCCTTTTCTTTGGTGCCTCATTGTATGCCCCCAGAAAAAGGATGGAGGAATCAGGCCCATTGCAGTGGGCAACACCCTTCGGTGCCTAGTCATCAAAGCTGTAATAAGAATGGTGAGTTGAAAGGTTGTTGCAATGTTGAAACCAACTCAACTCGGTTTTGGTGTTCAACAAGGCTGTGAAGCAGCTGCCCACCCAGCACGAGTATACATCAACAACATGTCCGATGAAAAAGCCTTGATCAAATTGGACTTTGCCAACGCTTTCAACTTAGTCAGAAGGGATGCTGCTCTCCATGCAGTTTCTAGACTCTTCCCTTCTCTCTATCCCTTCATAGAATCATGTTATAGTGTGACTTCTAAACTACTGTTTGAGGACCATGAAATTGACTCGTGTGAGGGTCATCAAGGAAGTCACAGAAGCACTCTCCAGTGAGCTCAATATCTGGTTCTTGGATGATGGTACCCTGGCTGGCACTACAGAATCTCTCCTAGAGGACATCAGAAAAATTAAAGACATGGGAGAAAGCCTGGGCCTATCTTTAAACCCCACCAAATGTGAAATAGTTTCTACCAATCGACAGATGATCCAGAATATTAGTGCTGTTTTACCAGGAGCATGAGCCATTGATCCAGCCAACAGCATTCTCCTTGGTGCTCCTCTTGGATCCAATGCCATCGATCTGATCCTAGAAAAAAATAGTCTCAGACCTCAGGACAATAGAAGGCAGGATGAAAGACATCGATACACATGATGCCTTCTACCTACTCACCAGGTGCCTGTCAATCCCAAAACTTACCTACTTTCTGAGATGCTCCCCAGCCTTCAGCAGTCTGAAAATCAAGGAATGTGACTCTCTCCTTAAGACCATGCTAGAGAATGTATTGAATCTTTCCCTCAAAGATGGACAGTGATTGCGAGCTTCACTTTCAGTCAGGCTGGGGGGGGGCTGGGAGTATGCAGATCCTCCCAGACTGCCCTACCAGTTTTCCTATCCTCTTCCATAGCATCAAACGAGTTAATAAGGCAAATGCTTCCAGACAACCTCAGTGACTCAGCAGGAATACAGGACTCTATGCCAGTGCCATCACTGAATGGGAGACTCTTGCTGCTCCATCACCAAACCCTAGTGCAGCACTGGCCTACAAACAGTCAAGTTGAGATGGCCCCATCACTGAAAAGGTGCTTGCCAACATGCTCAGGGCTGTAACATCAGACAGGGAGACTGCCCGTCTCCAAGCTGTGAGCGCACCTCACTCCAGGGACTTCCTCCAAACAGTTCCCATTTCAGCAATGGGAACGTGCCTCGACTCAAAAACCCTCCGTATTGCAGTGGCTCGGCGCCTTGCTGCCCCAATTCACATGGAATATACATGTATTTGCGGCGATGCGCAAGTCGACCAATATGGTCTACATGGTCTTAACTGTTCCAAAATCAAGGGCTGGCATGCAAGACACAATGAGGTCAACGACATAAAGAGAACCCTTGCTACAGCTGGATGCCCAGCCGAGAGGGAGCCCCGATCACTAGCAGCCAACAATATCAACAACCCAGCAAACCGCCCCAATGGGATCACCATCTACCCTTGGAAGAATGGCAAGCTCTTAGCATGGGACTATACCTGTGTGTCCACACTGGTTGACACCTATATCCATCACAGTGTCGGGCGACAGGGAGGAGTACAAGATCAGCAAGTACAGGGACATAAGCCAACAGTATCAATTTGTCCCAGTGGGATCAAAGACCTTGGGATCATAGGAAACAAAAATGCCACACATTTCCTTAAGGAACTGGGTTCCAGACTCATCGACACCACCAGGGACCCAAGAGCAGCTACTTTCATGTTCCAGCGCCTCAGTGTGGCCATCCAGAGGGTAAATACATGTTGCATACTGGGCTCGCGTCCGGCTTCGGAGGAGCTGGAGGATATTCATAACCTTTGATATATTGTACCAATGTATTCATGTTTGTGTTTTCTATCAATGTATTCTGTCTATTAATAAAATTAGCATGTAGCATTAAAATATAGGGGGTGGTAGGAGATGAAAATGTTCAAACAGCTCCAGGGAGAACTTTGAGTTTTTCCTGAGGTATGTTTATTGTCTTCTCTGAGGATGAGGGGGTCCCCAGTAAAGTTATAGAGGTGGTACCTCCATATGTCTATAAAAAAAAATACTAAATACTACATTAACCCTTTCAGGGTTTCGGCCGTACTAGTACGGCTTACGCACCAGTGTCCATGACGTACTAGTACGCCTAAATTCTAGCACCCTCAAATCTAGTGAGAGAAAGCAGGTAGGCCTACATATGAAAGAATGGGTCTATGTGGTCAGTGTGCGCAGTATAAAAAAATCCTGCAGCACACAGTGCGTAATGAGAAAAAAAAAACTTAGACCGTGTTTTTGGATTAAAACAGTGACTTTGCACTGTATTTTCGTATGGTATTTATTGTTGTATTCTAGTTTTCCTGGTCTCATTTTATAGAGTGGATCACATATTACAGAAATTGAGATGATTTTGACTGGTTTTACAATGAAAAGTACCTTGAAACTGAGCTCAAAGTAGAAGAAATGTTCGATTTTTACCAAAGTTCAAAAGTAAACAAATCATGCTATGCGTCCAATACACGTTAACTGGCACAAGTCTAATATTCTTTCAAGTGTGCTGATATTATTTATACCATTTCTACACAAATGCAGTAGTGTGCATAACAGTAAATCTTCTATTTTTTTGTGAGAAAAAAATTCAAAGTGAAAAGCAAAGAATGTAAGAGGGGCATTGGGACGTGACTAATGAACAGAGGAAATGTTATTTTAGTGCCAGGAATGTCTTTCTTGTTTATTCTGGACCCTATTCAGAAATTGGCATCTTTTGAAATTTGTGTGAGATTGGCAAAATTGCTAAATTCTGACCACTGTATTGGATAGTTGAAATCGGTAAATGGGTGGTTTCTTGTACTCATTCGATAGAAAAAATGGAGTTCTAGCAAAATAGCTATGATTTTTGTCGACTAGTACACGGGAATTGGCCGAAAATAGGGCTCAAAGTGGGCAAAATCGCCAATGTGTAAACATCGTCGAGACCGCTAACTTCGCGAGAGCATAATTCCATAAGTTTTCCATCAAATTTCATACTTTTGGTGTCATTATGATCGGGAAAAGATTCTCTATCTTTTCATAAGAAAAATTTTTTTTTTTTTTTTTGAAATTTGGGGGACCCTGAGAACAAGTCTCGGAGAGGGCCTGTGGACCCTGAAAGGGTTAAAAATAATTTTTACTAATTTTTCACAAAGGGTTTCCTAACCAAACATATAAAGTAGTAATATGTATGCACAGTATTCATCCTGTCTGGAATTCATATTGCTAAACACTTCATTGTGCACATTTGATTCATACTCCTTTGTAATTATTATACTGATTTTGCAAAGTCATGTTTCTAAATTGGGACTAAGCGATCTATCCACACATTTACCACTCATTATTCTCCTCCTGTTTCTATTTGTGATAACGGAAGAAAGGGGGTTGCTAACTCATGAACAAGTTGTGTTCCTGGTTTCCAACTTACAAATGAGTTGCTTGTAATGTGGAATCTATTTTCTTATGGAAAACAATAGTAAAAAAAGACGGATATCTTTCACGCAAATTCATAACCATGGATTTCCTACTGAAATTTTATTTGCTTTGTAAGTGGAATGAAGGTGTATTAAGTCTTCCTTCATATAATGACATTTCAGTGCAGTTTGCATTATTTTTCATGCTTTAAATTTTATGCACAATTTTTCTTTTAACACGTTGGCTGTCTCCCACTGAGACAGGGTGACCCAAAAAAGAAACACTTTCACCATCATTCAACATTTTTCAATAAGAGAACAGAACAGAACTGAAGTTATATTTCATACAGGCAACTTATTATCTATAATGAAATGAGACACAAACGTAAATATTTCATAATTAATATCCCAGTGTTACTGTTCAACAATGAAGTTCTTAATAGCTATGCAAATTATTAATGTATCACCTAACAGCAGCAAGTCTTGATAGAAGCGTGCCTGGTGTGAAGATACCACTTAGCCAGTCTGCATGCCAAAGCTTAAAACCTGCCAATACTAGCAGTGTGGCCAAGGGTGCATTACCACGAAGAGCAGTCATATGAAGGTAGTCGGGGGTACCAGCTGGAGTCCGATGATTTACATTAGACCTGAGAAAAAATATGTTTGCAGTTTTAATGTAAGATAGATAGGGATCATCCTAAGAACAGCTGAAGGGAGGGGATTAAAAGAGGCTTTGAACATCTTTTTTACTCTCCATACAAGTACTTCAACCTTCTTAGATCACTTCTGCTTTGTAAAGAAAAAACTTTTATATGCTAAGTCTTTCTCTCTTACCACTCTCTTTACCTTGTCATTCCACCAACTGCTCCTCTTCCCTCCAGCAACCTCCCTCCTATATCCACAACTTCTGCTGCACACACACATTAACAATGCATTCTTAAATCTACCCCATACTTCTTTAACATTACATATACTCTCTCTAGCCCACCTTTCTCCCAACAGTTGCTTATACCTTACCCTAGTTATCTCCTTTAATTTATAAACTTTCACCTCTCATTATTATTATTATTATTATTATTATTATATTTTTCATTTTCATTTTTCAACATGTTGGCATCTCCCACCAAGGCAGGGTGACCCAAAGAAGACACATTCACTAACATTAATTCAGCCGCTATCTTTCCCGAGGATTGCTAACGTTACAATCAGATTATCCTCTGACTACAACATCACCCTTCCTTCTAAGCTCAGACACTGCCCACCTCCATTACTCAGGTCAACCGGTTTCTCTGAATCTCTTCACAAAAGTTAACCTAATCACACTCCAACAGCACATCCATTAAAAACCACTTGTCTCCTAGCATGCCTATCTAACAGGTTCACACAAGCCTACCACATGCTCAAGCCCCTAAAACTCTGGGCCTCTTGTACCCCCCTCCCACCTTCCACTCCCAGATTAATTATTATTATTATATTATTCTCCTTGGGGAAGTGGAAAAAAAATCCTTCCTCTGTAACCCATGAGTGTCACAGGAGACTAAAATGCCAGAAACAAGGAGATAGTAACCCCTTTACCTGCATAAATTACGAAATGTATGGAATAGGTAGTAAGCTGCTAAATGCTGTAGAGAGTTTTTATGAGGATAGCGAGGCTCAGGTTAGGGTGTGTAGGAGAGAGGGAGATTACTTCCCAGTCAAAGCAGGTCTTAGACAGGGATGTGTAATGTCACCATGGTTGTTTAATATATTTATAGATGGAACTGCAAAAGAAATAAATGCTAGGGAGTTGGGGAGAGGGGGTGGGATTAACTCTTAAACTGTCCAAACGTAGATCTATGTTCACTTGCGTAGTGTTCTGAACGTACATCTATTTTTTTTTTTTTTTTTACATTTGAAAGCATGTAAAATAAAACGTAGATCTACGTTTGGAACACTACGCGAGCAAACGTAGATCTACGTTTGGACAGTTTGAGGGGTAAATTATGGGGAATCAAATACAAAATGGGAGTTGACACAGTTATTTTTTGCCGATGATACTGTGCTTTTGGGAGATTCTAAAGAAAAGTTGCAAAGGTTAGTGGATGAGTTTCAGAAGGTATGTAAAGGTAGAAAGTTGAAAGTGAACACAGATAATAGTAAGGTGATGAGGGTATCAAACGATTTAGATAAAGGAAAATTGGATATCACATTAGAGAGAGGGAGTATGGAAGAAGTAAATGTTTTCAGATATTTGGGAGTTGATTTGTCAGGGGATGGGTTTATGAAAGATGAGGTTAACCACAGAATTGATGAAGGCAAAAAAGTGAGTGGCGAGTTGAGGTATCTGTGGAGACAAAAAGTGTTATCCATGGAGACAAAGAAGAGAATGTACAAAAGTACTGTATAGTGATACCAACACTTATATGGGTGTGAAGCTTGGGTTGAAATGCTATGGTGAGGAGGCGGCTGGAGGTAGTGGAGATGTCGTTTCTAAGGGCAATGTGTGGTGTAAATATTATGCAAAGAATTCTGAGTGTGGAAATTATGAGGAGGTGTGGAGTTGCTAAAAGTATTAGTCAGAGGGCTGAGGATGGGTTGTTGAGGTGGTTTGGTCATTTAGATAGAATGGAACAAAGCAGAATGACTTGGAGAGCGTACAAATCTGTAGGGGAAAGAAGGTGAGGTAGGGGGCATTCTTGAAAAGTTTGGAGGAAGGGGGTACAGGAGGTTTTGTGGGTGAGGGACTTGGACTTCCAGCAAGCACGTGTGAGCTTGATAGATAGGAGTGAATAGAGACGAATGATTTTTGGGACCTGATGAGCTGTTGGAGTGTGAGCAAGGTAATATTTTGTGAAGGGATTCAGGGAAACTGAGTAGCTGGACTTGAGTCCTGGAAATGGGAAGTACAATGCCTACAATTTAAGGAGGGGTTTGGGATATTGGCAGTTTGGAGGGACTTCTAAACCGTTGTATTTGAGTGCCTCTGCAAAGACAGTAATTATGTATTAGTGATGGTAAAAGTGTTGAATGATGATGAAAGTATTTTTTCTTTCTTTTTGGGTTTTTCTTTCTTTTTGGGTCACCCTGCCTCAGTGGGAAGCAACAGATATTAAAAAAAAAAACTTTCATTTCTTCTTTTTTGGTCATCCTGCCTCGTTGGGAGATGGCCAATGTGTTAAGAAAAAGTTATTATTGAAAAGCGCTAAACCTATAGATTTCATACAGTGCCCAGAGGGCAATTAGGTTCAATCCAAAAGGGAGATCAAGTCCAATTCTTTGGATGTAGGGCCCCCCAAAGTTCATCAAAGCACCTCACTTGAGGGAAGGTGCCTTAATGAAGTTAAGGCCTCTCATACACAATTTGTTAACACTTATGGCATAATAGAAGGAACTCTATAGTGTCTGTCAGGGCAGGTATAACAGAAATGGTAAAGATTTTGACTGTTGTAGAATACAATATTTTTAATATAGTACAACAGGTGACTTATGTTGACTTATATGGGTGTCAAGCATGGGTTGTAAATGATGCAACAAGAAAAAGGCTGGAGGCAGTGGGGATGTCGTATCTAAAGTCGATTTTTTTTTAACACGTTAAACATTTCCCACCTAGGCACAATGACCCAGAAAGAAAGAAAAACCCAAAAAAGAAAGAAAAAAACTTTCATCATCATTCAACATTTTCACCATCACTCATACCTAATCACTGTCTTTGCAGAGATGCTCAGTTATGACAGCTTTAGATATCCCTCCAAACTGCCAATATCCCCAATCTAAAGGCAATGTGTGGTGTAAATATTATGCAGACAATTCATAGTGTGGAAATTCGGAGGAGGTGTGGAGTTACTAAAAGTATTATTCAGAGGGCTGAAGAGGGGTTGCTGAGGTGGTTTGGTCATTTAGAGATGATGGAGCAAAATAGGATGACTTGGAGGGTGTATAAATCTGTAGTGGAGGGGAGGAGGGGTAGGGGTCATCCTAAGAAAGGATGGAGGGAGGGGATAAAAGAGGTTTAGTGTGCAAGGAGCTGGGACATACAGCAGGCATGTGTGAGAACATCAGATAGAAGTGAATGGAGATGAAATGGTTTTTGGGACCTGGCGAGCTGTTGGAGTGTGAGCAGGGTAATATTTTGTGAAGGGATTCAGGGAAACCGGCTAGTCGGTCTTGAGTCCTAGAGGTGGAAAGTACAATGCCTGCACTTGAAAGGAGGGGTTTGGGATATTGGCTGTTTGGAGTGACATCTAAAATGTCGTATCTGAGTGCCTCTGCAGACAGTGATTATGTGTGAATGATAGTGAAGGTGTTGAAAGATGGTGAAAGTGTTTCTCTCTTTTTTGGGTCACCCTGCCTTGGCAGTAGACAACAAAAGTATGGGAAAAAAAAAAAGCCGACTTTTACTGAAGAAGACTTCAATAATCAGAAGGGACAGATAAAGTGAAAAGTTTTAACAAAATACAATGATGCTTTAATAGAAAGCTTAAAGAATCTGAAAAGGTAAAATGTATTTTTATCACAAACAATTACAAAAAAGAAATTAAATGGAAATAAAGATGGCTGATTCCACGTGAGTGATCAATAAAATATTTATTTCTAGAATCTATAACTTTACAAGAAGACTGAGACCCAAATCAACAAAATTCATCCTTCAGTATCAAGGTCCTGCATATTAGGTCCCCCTTCACAGGAGGTGCCTTGATGCTAGTAAGGGGATCTTGATCTAAGGAATTAGACATGATGTCTTCTTCCTTGGATCAAACCTGAATGTCTCCTTTTTCCCCAGGTACTATATGATCCCTGTAGGTTGAGTGCTCCCATAAATGAAGTAATAATAATAATAATAATGTATATTAGCCGACTTGTTGAAAAAAAAAAAAAAAAAAAAAAAAATTAAATATATATATATTATATTATATATATATATATAAATATATATATATAAATATATATATATAATATAAATATATATATATATATAAATATATATATATACATATATATATATTACAAATATATAATAATAAAATATTATATTATATACATATATATATATATATTAAGTATATATATATATATAAATATTATTAAATTATATATATTTCTTCTTCTTGACACACCGCCGTTCCACCCGGGGGGCCCAAAAGGAAAACAAAAGTTTCTCCTTTCACATTTAGTAATATATACAGAGAAAGGTTACTAGCCCCTTTTGCTCCGGCATTTATAGTCGCCTCTTACAAACACCATGGCTTACGGAGGAAGAATTCTTTCCACTTCCCCATGGAATAAGAGAAATAAACAAGAATAAAACTAGAAATAAAATAGAAGAAACCAAGGGGTGTTATATATGTGCTTGTACAATGTATGTTATGTGCACCTAAGTGTAAGTAGAAGTAAGCAAACTACCTAAATTTGCATGTTCATGAGACAGAAAAAAGGACACCAGCAATCTACCATCATGTAAAAAATTACAGTGCTTTCGTTTACACTCAATTGCAGTACGGTATACCTCCCTGCGTTTTCTAACAACACTTATACTATAATATATATATATATAATATAATATATGATGAAGTAAAGGGTGTGATAAAGAGAAAAAGTTAGCTTATGAGGGTTTTTACAAAGCAGAAGTGTTATAAGAAGAGCAGAGTACAGGGAGAAGTAAAAGAAAGGT